GAGGTCGAATCTCAAGGCCACCCTGACATCTACCAATCGGTAGATAGACCATGGAACAAGCCAACAGGAATGCTCACCCAAATGAACAGTGATCAGTTAAGGTCGACTTGGGTGATTAAATGCCATATCAACCTATGCAACCGCAACAACCAAACACTTCCATGCACAACGTACTGACTATGTCACTTCAACTGGTGATGGGGCGTCTGCAACCTTATTCATTATCATCAGCTGTAAGAAATGCGTGATTGTCGTACAGTGGTTATAGCTGCCACAGTTTCGTTCACTGATTATACGGGGAAGTAGGATGGGTAGCTACGCATTGGAAGCGGGAGCTGATGCAATTGATGCATAAATACAGGGTTGTCAGTAGACGTCTGCTTGGGGAGATTGGAAAGCGCAGTGGCTTGGATGCACGAGCGCCATTGGGGACGCGACTGCGCCACGTCTGACAATGTCTCTAAACATTGATGTGTCCCGTGTAGGGCCCCCCACCTAGGGAGATGGCAATGACCAGCGCTGCTGAGTTTGCTGGTAATGGCTTTAATACTACGCTGCCAAGTGAGGTTCACAAAAAGCTGCTCTGGCCTTCCTAATCAAGATGGAAATAGCATATTTCGCGAGAACACGGGGGCTGGTACGGCTGCTCGGGTAAACAAATTTGTCTACTACCTTAATCGGCTCATCCGCAAGCATGAGGTTAGAGTTCACGCCAACCCAGTATTGCGGTAGTATTTTATACTTTGCAGGTGTGAAGTCTATGCCAAACCGTGAGGCAGCATTATTCAGATTATTTAACACTGTTTGAATTACCACGTCAGATCCAAGAACAGCTGCTTACTCGATATCTGATAGCGAATGCCCCGGAATAGCTTCGACCCCACATACAGTAGAGGCTGATAGTGGGTCCTCCGAGGTTGAAAAGGAAAGGTAAAAAGAGGACAGCCCTGCCTGACACCACTTGATATAGTGAACTCAGGCGAGAGCTTCCGTAGACCTACAAACGTCCGTAGAAGTTGGCGTACAGCGCCCCAAAGTAGATCAGCCAAGCGACCCAGCCTAATAGTTCCACATTTCACTGAACGCCCACTTGCAGTATACCAGTCAGCATGATACACAAAGGACAACAAGAGCTAGATGAAACCATAAGCTTATAGCTACTAATTACTGAGTCGAAATTGTCAGCTGATCCGCACAACAGAGTTAATGCTCAATAGCACAGTGCTAATAGACAACGTAAAAAACGGCAGTTACATTCATTCTGAATTAGTGAGACAGCGTCGTAAAGCGCGCAAGTCTGAGATAAACAAATAGTTCGAATCCTTTTTCACTGAACGTAAGAGCAGTAAACAAAGAACAACAACAAACAGTGATGGGCGTTCCGAAAACAATAAGTTCCGGGAAGCAGGAAAGTAAGGTCAAACAAAATTTGAAATTGTGGCTGTGATACGCCCTACGTCGGTCAGCCATCAGTTTGGATGTGAGAGCAAGAGCCTGGCTAGCTTAATGTAAGGGGTTTGTTTGGTAGGAGTGACATCGTGTCCTTCCTTGTTGACTGACTATAACCGACGTATAAATGTGTGACCACATTCAACTAACACATCAGGTGAAAGTTACTGTCCTTTATCTACAATTATGTGACACAAAAAGCTGTTGGGCGTGCTTATGACTATGAAACGAAGGCAGTTCACGAGCCCTACAAGTTAGTCAGGGAATTCTTAACTATGTGAGTAAGCGCAGGCTAGTGTAATTGAGAACCAGCGATACAATATGTAGCTCACACTCGATAAAGCGAGGGATCGGTAATGAGTCGATATCGTTAGGGGAGTTGGTAAAGTTTCCCAACTTAAGTTGGCTCAGATATGTGCTGTGTCCGCTCAGTCACCGTCTATCAAAGAAGACCGTCGTCGTCCTCACTGACCGACTGGTACTTGAATTGATTTTCGACTCCTTCCAAGTCAGAGCAGGATCAACCGACAGGATTCAATTTTGTTTGAGCAAATGCCCTTTTGCTCGCGTTCCTAGCCTTCGGTCAGTTCTATCAATGTATGTATGTAGAGTAATTGGTACATGCGATGACCAGCCGATAAAACTGATGTTGGAGCTTTGATCGGCGACAATGGCACAACCACCTGTACCCTAGTAGTCAGCTGTACCGTGGTGTAGGCTCGGCGCAAGGTTACGATTGAGGTCCGTTTAGTCTGAATGAAGGCATGATTACCAATGTAGGAAATAGTTAAGTGAAGAGACTTGCCCGGTACTGTGGTTTGCGCCTCTTTGTCACTCATTCTGAGATGTTTTTCAGTGGAATAATAAGGACACCTGTTTGACTGCCGCAATTCAAATTCAGTGAGCTTATCTGGAGTGTTCTACGGAGTAAAATCCGAACCAAAGGACGTTTGTGCTGCATCGGACAAAAACTTGCAAAACTGAGTGCCGTCCAATGCAGGTAGGCTTTCCGTAGACGGAAGTCATTAAAAACTTTCAAAGGAAGTTTTCTACTATTTGGTTTAAACGGGGTGTTGGAGGTACTAGCAAAAGTGGACCCTTGCAAATTTCAATTTGGTTTTCAGCGGAATCTCTCCTTTATGATATTCTCCAACTACATAGGCCGCTCCATGTTTCAGTTGGTAAGATATTCGAGATATGGCAGTATATTTCCGCAATGAAAACTACTCATAAGGTTTCTGAGAACTCTTCGACATCCCATGACCGGTTTCGCCCTTCTTGGAGCTCATCAGGTAGGCGCAGTCCCGAGCTTCCGTCAACTTTATGTTCTACCTGAGTAAAATTGGACAGATTCCGAGAAACAAACTCACTTGCACGTCAATTTGCATTTCGCCGGAGACTCAACCGAATCTTTCGTTTATGATATTTGCCCAAAACCGGTCGTGGGCTGCCGAAGAGTTTTCAGCAGCCTTGTGAGTAGTTTCCTTTATGGACTTTTGCTGCTTTATTCACGGGCCCAAAATGATATTAGAGGTCTTCGTTTTCGAAAAAGTTTGGTGACAATCGGCAGACGTATTGCTGGGCAACGTTTCGCTTTTGACACAAAAGCTTCGTCAGGCCAAGTGACTAGGTTCCGAGGTTGGTCGAGATTTAAGGCGGAAGGAGAAGCAATCGGCTAAGTCAAGCTGAATCTCTGTTGGGTGTCGGTCGAGGGATTTTTGTGTGTTAGGGTGGGTGAACCGGATATCAAAAGTCCTTTTTGGACATCAATCAATATTTTATCCACAAATATTTGGAAAGATGCACCGATTGCAGTAAATATATAGTTGCGGTTTCAATGAGAGTACCTCGTTCTTACGCTAGACGAAATGTTATTCACCGAATATTAGTGAATACTACAGTAGTAGGATCCACGGCAATCTCTAGTGTGTTCTTCATTGTCTTCACAAAAATTTACAAGTCAATGGATCCGTTAGGGCCCACCATGAAGACATCAACTGTCAGATATGTGCCTTTTCTTCAGCGTAACCTTGGAATAAGGATTTTATTCAAGTCTACTTTGCGATCCAAACAGATGCTTATGCTTTCCGTGTGTAAGCCACTGTTTTCAGATAATCCAAGGGAACACAACGGCGAGTGTTCAGGCGACCGAAGTGGCAATGCCCTCAGATTATCGATTCAGTCACGAGCTTGTCCTCCAGAACAGTGTAGACATGGTGGACAGGTAGACAAAGTGAAGTGGAGGATACATGCCAAAAGTCTAACACAAGTAGAACAGCAATCTGGCTGGACATTCCTATCCTTGGATGGAGTAAAATTTTCCTTTCATCGGGACCACAGTAACCTTGTGCAGTTGGTTTCCGGAAGCCCCGTTGCTACAACGCCTTGACTTTGAAGTCCCCAGCTTGTGGCTCCACGAGAATTCTGGATTAAACTCCCGATGATGGAAGATGTTGTGTTGTCTAATAGGAATGCACCGGGTCGATTTGGGAGTGTTTCCTCCAGGTCTGTGAGAAAAATTCATTTTCTTTGATCGATTAACTCCGACATGTCCCAGTACCACGTGTTTACTCACCAGTCCAAAACGTTTGAGCACACAAAATGCACATGAAGTGAATCAGAGAATGTCGAGCTAAACAGTGAGAATGTCTAGTCTGACAGAACTGTGAACCAGAAAAAGACATCGAATCCAAAGTAAGGTGTCGATTGACCGATTTCCGAACACCAGTTTGGTGTGCATCATACCACTCTTACTCAATTATCATTCTGTTGACCTTGGTGTAGCACAAAACGTAAAAGCATGGATGGAGGGGTACACAAGTGCTTATTAACACAGTATGGATAGCCAGCACATAACGCAAGGTATTCCACTCAAGGTATTTCCACTCATCTACCCATGACTTATGAATCCACAATTCGACGGCCCCCACAAAAGTTACGGATGAGAAATGTCCCGAAAGATTTTCGGGATGCGCACTGCTCTACATGGTTTTCAGCCATGTTTATGCGGCTTCGAATAGCGAACTCGTATAGTATAGTGTCGAGAGATTCTTCTTAGGTACACCGTTTTAGATACGTATGAGATTCCACTTGCACTGAACGTAGAGTTCTTGACCAAAGTTGCTGCTTATATAGGGTATGAACCCAGGGTTCGCTGATATGAAAGTTACAAAACTGACGATAAGTGTGAATCGGTTCAGTACCCAAGGACTATCCCGAAATCGAAACAAGGTGTTTCAGGAGAGGATGGGCTGGAGTAGACTTAGGTTCCGGTCAGAAAAGGGCCATTAATTCTCGTCAAGTCTGGTGGACAAACAGCACCCGCCGCCATCATCGTTCGACGTCTCCCTGAATACACATCTCATGTGAGTGAATGCTTCCAAAAAGTTGTCTTGAAAGTGTTTCAACGCAGGGTTTTTTTCGTCGCAGCTAGAGTTTATTCATATTCAACGGTTTTTCACAAACCATTCGAGATTTTCTTCTAGGAAGAGTCCAGGTAAAAAAATATGGGTCGGACGTTGTTTTTTATCACAAGCTTAGTTGTAACTTACCAATTATGATAAAAGTGCTTCTCCATGCATCGGATCCAAGCCAAACGACGGCAATCGACATGATGGACATGGTCAACCAGGGCCCCAGACCTCCAGCAACATTGACAGCGGCAGACAACACGCCCCACCAGGTGGCCAGTTCATTGGGAGCAACCGACTACAAGAGAAATTGGAGCGAGTCCAAGAGTAAAACGTCGAAGCGCGACTTCCTGGTAACATCATCCATCGCTGGGACAATTAATACCCCAGGAGGAAAACGAAAGCGCAAGGAAGATTGAGGTAAGGTTCGGACAGCCAACCCTGCCCCATTGAACAATAAATATCGGCAATAGTGACAATGAAACGCATAAAACATGCTATTCCCTATAAGGATCCCAACGTACGGGCAACATCAAAATTAACTATGTCCGTAACCTAGTCAAGTTGTTACAGAGCGCTCTGAACGTGTAGAAACGTGAACTGGCTGGAACGAACGAATGCGCAGTGAGGTGATGAGGAGATGGGTACCCCTCCAATGGACGCGTCCCGCGCTGCAAGCTAAGGTGACTGGGCCATTTGTTACGCATGTCGGGTCACTGCCTACCGAGACGAGCGCTGTTTTCCGTGTCTAAACCTCCAATGACCGGTCCCGCGCTGCAAGCTAAGGTGACTGGGTCATTTGTTACGCATGTCGGGTCACTGCTTACCGAGACGAGCGCTGTTTTCCGTGTCTAATTCAGAGTAGTGGAAACCTACAGGGGAACTGAATTTGACATGGTTGAAGGGAATGAATGATTCTATGGAAGGTTTGGGCCTTTTTGACACTATTCGCCTTCCAGGATGGACTCCACATTATCCTCTTCTGCTCAGCTGGGTACACGCAACGATCTGGTTGCTAACCGATGTCAGTGGTGTTCATGCTATCAGTTCGTAACCAGATTGACTGAATGCAAGAGATGTGCGCCCTCTCGCTACACCATTTCCTTCTGCTTTATACTGTAAGGCTTTATACAAATAAATTGACATGGTTGTACGGCAGTGAAGCACTCGTGTTCTCATCTGGTGTTGCTATCATCGATGATGATGATGATGGCGTGGAATGCTAGTAAAACACTTTTTGGCAGGCAGTGAGGAGAGGTAAAAATGAATAGACGAGCGCAATGTTCACACGGTTTCTAAAAGCTCTTCGACAGCTCACGACCAGTTCCGCCCTTCTTGGGGCTCATGAGTTAGACGCATTCTCCCAGTTACCTTCAACCTTATGTTCTATCTGAAACTAAATCGGGCGGAAGTCGAAAAATGCTCCCGTTTGCACACAAATTTTGTTTTGAGAGAGACTCAAATAAATCTAGCCAAATCGTCAGTTTATGATGGTCCGCTTCACTTGAATGCGTTGCACTAGGCCACCCCTATCCCATGTATTGCTATATCTCGAATATCGTGCCAAATGAAACACGGGGCCGCCCGGTGCAGCACATTCAGTTGAACAACATCGCAGACGAAATTCAACTGGGATTCAACTGAGTCACCCGTGAAAATGGAATAGATATGCAAATGTGTATTGGCTGTGATAGCAGTGTATTGTATCAAGCTCAAAAAAACACGCTTACCATAGGGCATTCGGAAATGCACTATTCATTAAAAATTATTGGACCGCATTAAAAATTTGCATTAGTCAAAAGAACGTTCTCTTCAAATAACATTTCAAGCATTTTCAACTAAATTATGGCGCTAAATCGTTCGGTGCCTAACTGCCATGCCACCAGAAGAAAGCACGATGGCTGGGATACTGCCAGGTTGCCCAAGCCTACACAGGGGAAGTCAAGAGGTAGAGGTCGGATTCGAACCACGAACCTTCCGGTCGGCAAATTCGCGCTCTAATCACTGAGCTATCTCGCTAGCGGTCGTCTGGTTCATTAAAAACTCAGGTCGTGTGGAACGACTTTCTCGAGCCGTGGACTATCACAGAAATATGGAGACATTACCACGCCAGAGTACCACTAAACCATTTCGGAAAGTCCAATAGTTGAGGTAGCGTGGTGAAGTATGCTGCCTCGGTAGGTTTAGTGTTTGATACAAGTGGATGACTTTGTCATCGGAAAAACGCTGCTCAAAGCGACACGGATCCAGTGCCACAGTTACGACCAATGCGAGTCTGTTTCAGTATTTAAACGCTTTCCCATTAATAAGCTCATAACCAAGCTGAGCTCATGTCACTGCATCCTTCATTTACGCAGTCATAGCACCAGACCAGTACTAGACTGGGTGCACGAGCAGATAAACATTTATTTGCGAACCAATCTGGTATTAACGGCAGATTCGAATCGTTCGTTTAGAATACTAGAATATTAGACCTACCTGATGGGGTCGAAAACGGTAGTTCACTGCCCAATAGTTTCACCGACTCTATAAGTGGTCCCTAATCAGGACAAATACCTCACTACTGTCCTAACACTCGACTGTTCAACGTTTTATCCGAAGTCAACATCCCCTTTGTATGCTACCTGTAAGATACGCAATTCAAGGGATTTAATGCCATCAGGTCCATGAACTGCAGGAAGACTAGCTGCAGGTCACCGAAATGACGGAGCTCCCCTCGAATATAAACTGAGTAGGCTGTGAGCAATTGATCGTGAGCTTCCGAAGAGACTTCAGAAAACCTATGAGTAGTCTATTCACTGCCATGCCTTCTCATTGCCTGCTCGTCTTTAAGACTCGGTGAGATGTCTTTTTGGCGCCATAAGTGGCGCTAATTGGTAAACTCAAGTCTGGCCTTCGAGATTCGCGTGTCACATTACTATCACAACTAACGGAGCTTCAGAGATGGGTGTAGTATCCCATCACCTTCAATGTTACTCTTGAGCTCCTAGGGATATGTTCGAAGACCGAACGTCCTGCGGCAGGACACTACACTTTGTAAGCACGAAGCACCTGCCAAAGAACTGGATGGTCAACTTTTCGAGTAATGGTTCCGCTTCTTGATATTTTTCAAAAATGAGAATAATGTCATCCACATATTCCAGGCAGACAAGGTTCTCCTAACGAGACCTGAACACCGGAGTTTTGGAGTCCTTCCATTGTTCTCCACAATTATTACGTCAGTGACTAAAACAATCAATTCAATTTCAATTTATCAGCTACAACCGTATACCATAAGCATAATGGCTCCAGCTGCTACAGTTTCCATCACCGGTAAACGGGAAAGTCAAACATACAACCAAGCCTTGGAGTCGGTCTGTTGGAAATTGGGTAGCTCCGCATTGAAGCCGATAGCTTTGATGAACCAACGACACTGGCTGCGCGGTTGGACCATTTCTGTCAATGTCTTAACCATTGGTCATTTGAATCCCGGGGTCCCAATCCAGAAGGGCAGCAATTGCCCACCCGACTAAGTTTACTGGTTAGTATTTTGGTATTTTGTTGCTAAGTTCTACACTGCCCACCTATCGGTCACTCTCACTCAGCACAGAGCTGGGCAAAAAGAGCTCTATGAGGCAGAAGGTCTGCCGGCATATGCAGTACATGTCCTAACCAACGCAAACCATGAAGCTTGAGTAATTCATCCATCGCGGAAGAGTTCCTTCTTCCTAAAACCATCTAGTGTACTTCAGTAGTGCCAACTCGATATTTCCACCAGACCTGATCAATGCTTCGGAAACGGTCAAACAGCGACAGCGTTCGTATGCCCTCTGAGGGTCGAGGTCACGTTTCTGATCAAATAAGAAGTAAGCACCGCACCACCGTAATGTAAACTCTATCCTTGGCAGACAAACTGACGTCACAAGTGGTACCATACGTGTAGGAGGTTAGCAAAAGCTGCCATGACCTTTCCAATTCGAGAAACAAACTCATCTTCAGCCAGTCCACCGGAACTGCCCAGGTAAACAAATTTATCTACCACATCGATGGGCTCGACTGCAAGCAAGTCTTGTATCAGCACTTTACATTTTGCAAGTGTGCAAGCGAAGGCCGAACCGTAAAAATGAATTATTTAGATTATTTAAAGTGGTTTGCATTTATGAACTACCTGAACCAATAAAAGCAATACAGTCCGCATACTCAATGTCTGAGAGTGAACGTCCCGGGAGCATTTCCACTCCCAGGGTTTCAGAGACAGGCACAGAAGTTTCAAAAAGCACATCAATAGTAAAATTGAAGGCGAATAGTTAGGAAGGGCAACATTGTTTTACACCATGGACGTAGTGAACTCGAACGAAGGCTTGTTGTGTACTCATACATGTCCACAAAAGTTCGCATACAGTGCCCTCATAAGGAGTATAAATTTGGGACACCTTTGATCGCTAGACACTGTCGGTCGACAGAACCAAAAGCGGATTTCAGATCAATAAGCGCGATACGTTTTGGTGTGGGTTTCGTCCCGTAAATGAAGCAAACCCATGCTGAAAAGCCGAGAAGCACCGGCAGTTGTTACATCCTTATTTGGAACTATCACCAGTACGCATCAGCAGAGTCCGATACTTTCGAGCTACTAAAACTCGCCGAAGTTGACGAACGGAGGTGTTTCATTCCGGTAAACATATTGTGAACGACAGCCGAAAAAACTATGCTAGCACGACGGCATGATGTGAGTCGACTGGCGTAAGCCAGAAGGAAGGCCTATCTCTGACGGAGGCTCTACATCGGTAACTGATAGTCATGTGACCTGAATCCACGACTGGCCTACAGCAGGTGGCCTACTGGTAACTCATTGTGAGCGCCTGTGCTGACTGTGCACTGGAACAGGTGATGTTCTGCGCACACGTTCATGATCCGTACTGTGTGCTCTCACCCCAATCTACCGTTCAACTTTGGCGCTCATATCATTCACTATGATAAATACATCCGTTTTTCACGATCGTCGAAGCAGTTACGATAGATTTCGGTAGATCCCCCTTTCTTAGATTACCAGCTGCAGTCCGAGGCGTATGCTGACGCAGATAAATACCGCTTACGGCACAGACCTGCATTGAGCTTAATTACATCAGACAAACACATAGCGCAAAGATCCAATTCAGTAAAATGTTTTCAGCCTTTGGGCTGAGTGCAACTCCTGCGCCCTGGATACAACGAGCCATTGAGTCAGAATCACCAGACACTCGAAGAGCAAAAAGGGAACACCTGAGCCGTCCTGAGCGGATCGCGGTGCACGACCACAGTGATGTCTTATGTGCGTGTTTGAAAGAATTAACATACATTGACATAGAAAGTGCAGCTTCAGTAAAAGATGATTGATGTCCAATGTTACACAGAGTACGGACATTGGGGAAATTGACGTTGCAACTTTTAACAGATCTCTGAAGATTAGAACGCGGTTATTTTTGTTTGTTTTTCTGGATGGTAGTTTACACAAGTAAAAATGGTTAGGAGAATGGAAAATGGGTTGATCGCAGTGCATCATTCCATGCGTGAGGAGGCGTGGGTGAAGGCCAGTGAAAGAACAGCTTCAAAGGCGAATTATACTTCTTGGTTTCGCGGACCGAAGGGAGCTGGTTGAAGGGACCCAACTTTCAGAGTTTGACTCAATAGCCTGACCCACAACGGTCAGTTAGAGGACGTACGGTCTTGTCAGCGGACCGTTGTTCTAGTCTCTAAATCAAACGTCAAAGCCGCGAGGCGGTGGTTGTTAAGGTTTCATTTTGAGACCATTCTCGGAGCCAGTGACTGAGCAGTATGGCCACTTTGCTTCAGGGGGCTAATCTAGCTCGAGAGCGTATGAATTAAGGCAGCTGCGGAAAGCACGCATTTCCTGAGAAGCACCAGACTCTGATTTTAAAACTATTATTGTCGTCATTGTTGAATAATGCGCTGACGGACACAGGCAAGTAATTGGCGATTGGGATGCGTAAGTTTCAGTACCGACTTTTTCCACCCCTTCCATCCTCGGAAGTTAGTCTCGCTGTTTCCATGAGTACACACGTTTGAGGGAACCACCTCAATGTTTTCACATTCTTGTCGAAGGGAACAATACAAATTTACCTCCAGGCACCCCATAATATGATTCCTTGATGGGGACTCACTGTTCTTCGTCGCGCTGTTCACCGTTGGCCCTGCTGGGGTTGAGCCTTAGGGCACTGGGTTCAAACCGGTGTGGCCTACAAGACCGTTGCAGCACTGAAAACCGACTATTCGAAACTCTGAAGATGCCTCCGATAATCTGCTTGCAGAGGTCGTATGTCGCGATGAACCTACTGTAGGCTGACGCACGTGACACTTGAGATCCAGCGAAATGCCGTTTTGACGCTACAAATGACATAAACTGGTAGGCGTGGATCGGTCCTTCGAAATTTATGCAGACATATATAAGAGCTAACACAACAACCGAGGTATTTAAAATTCTGCAAGATCTCCAGTGCCCCTCCTTGAATTGCAAATGGCACGTCCAGACTGCATGTTCCGTATGCCACGGTACTTGCCGAAAGCCTTTGTGACGATGGTCAGCTAACCCAAGTGTTTATGAGTTGCATTTATCTTCATAGATCAGGACGATTTGGTTTGAGTACTCAGGATCGACTAGATTTTCACCAGCAACGACCGAAACACCAGAGTTCCGGCGTTCATCTCGACGGCGAGGTTTGACAGGACAAGAGCGAGCACACATTCTTGTCTGACACAACTTTTATAGAGAAACTTTCAAGAAGCTTCACAAACACTCCCACACACAGAAGTATGCGTACATAAGAACCGATTTGGGCTCACAAACTTCTAAACATCTTCTGTTCAGTGGACCTTTCTTAGATAACAAATTCAATTACGGAGCTGAACAGGAAGGTTGACAAGATGCAGTTCTGATGGACACTACATTTCATGGACTCGGGAGAATACCCTCCGTAGACTTTAGGGCGTCCACGGATGCTGGAGTAAAAGGATCGAATTGTGACAAAAACTTTTCAATTCCTACCTTGAGGATACCACAAAATAGCGCGGTCGACTGCATAGAGTAATTGCTTTTAGGGCTAAAAAAGTAAATATTGTTGGCCATCTGTATGTGGCGGCCTTCGAAGAGATGTTATAAATTATGGATGAGGTCAGTGCATCCCCGACCCGGAAGGGGCCATGCATGGTTTTCACGACTCTCGCGCACGAATGCTAGTAAGGTGTGCGTAAGATAAAGCAGTTGGGAATTTAGGACCGATGGTGATACCTTCACTATTCTGACATTCAGAACGAACACCTTTTTGAATACGAGAGCTACAACAGACATCCGTCGTTTCTATGACGTTCCATCCGTCTTCTGAGTGTTCTGTATGAGCTCTGTCATACTATGACCAGTGCTTCGCCTTCACCTGTGAACAATGCAGAGGAAAACTGAAACCTTGTTGCGTCTCAAAAGCTGGATTTCATTTTTTACTTCAACTTCCGTTGGGACCGAGTAATCCGTGCCCCGTCGTGAATCTCTTGATCCTTTACTCGTTATGCTGGAAAGTTCAGGCCAGCTGGATATTTTTTCAGAGTATTCCGCCCATCGAAGTAGGCATCGAAACTTCGAAGGATGTTTGAGCCTCCTTCCTCTGTAATCACTTCACTAACCAGCGGATTCTTGATCCCACTTGAAGAACTTTTCTTGACGATATCATCATCATCATCATCATCGACAACATGACATCAGTGTTCAACACCGATGCTTCACTGCCGTGGGCTTGACGGTAACCACTCCCAGTAGAAGTTTTGGCAACCGGTACAGCTTTGGCTATCACTCTCCAGTAATCGTAGAAATCCTACAACGGGTCAGTAGATAAGCGTCGGAGGAATCACCCTGACATTTTTTATTCTCGTATCCACGGACCACAATGGCCAGGCGATATCTGTGTTCTGCTCAAACCTGAAAGTCTAAAACAAAACCACAGATGGATAAGCGCATTGTCGGGGTCTACACAGGTGCCCCAGAATGATCGATCTTCGCAACCAGAAAATAATAGCAATATGATCAGAGCTGGTTCGGTGGTGGCAGCACACTCCCACCGTTCTGGACAGTGGTACCTCAACGGACCAGCCCATGATCAGGGTGGTTACAGTAAGCGCCCTCCGTTGTCCGTGCACCTCGTGAGTAATCCACTCAATTGAGCCTCATCAGCACAACCCTCACCTACCTGAGACCGTGTCACCAAAGGCAGCAGCAACATCTGAGCTTCCGTCTGTCGTGAAAGCACTCTGGGCGTCATGGAGACAGTCTATCGTAGACTGGAGCTAAGTTCTGCTAAAACATAAGCAGAAGCAATAAACAGCGAGCAACGGACCAATCTTCCCCGAGGTCCTTTAATGGATGCGGCCAAACGAACTGCGCAGAGGCATCAAAACTTCATACTCCAGCCTCAAAGCAATAACCGTCGAGAAGTGTCTAGCTGCAATGAGCTCCACATCACGAGGTGCGCAAGCGGAAGCGGAAAGAGGACAACGGGTTAGTTGATTCAACGACACTTCGTGCATCCTGGATTCTTATTCCTGACATAAAACATAAATCAGTGCAGGGGAAACCCATCGTATGAGCAAAGCAGCTTGTTGTCCTGCTTGCTTCAGAGCGTAAACATTAAGGCTTTCGGATTTTAAACATTGGTTTCTTGTTTACGGAAGTCACCGGAGAGATATACATAACTGGTCAATAAGGGTGATGGAAAGTGAACAAAGCGGTCAGCCTTACTGTTAAGACCTGCAAAAGGATTTGTCAAAACTGAATGGGGTATGAGAGGGAAAATATGTGGGGGCTTAAGTAGGGTGGCATCAAAAGCAGGAGTGAGTCTAACCGCCCTGCTGTACACAACATATGAAGCGGGTCGATTGATGGTAACACGTGACGACCAATGTGACATGAGAGGATTTTTGGATGCAAACTTCATTGTTATAAGCGGCCAGGCATACTGTCAGAGCGTCCAAACCTAGACAGAGCACGATTAGGTCCCTCACCGAGCCTTTAGCTCAGTCAATGGGAGGGTGCGAACACACTAACGCAGTAGTACAAGATTTGCGGAAACAGTTTGCCGTGCATGGTTTACGCCCAACCTGGAGGAATAGGAGACTGGATTCATCAGATATCTAACCACTGACCATGTGTGAGCATCAAAGCGGAACCCACTAGTATAGTCCAATAAATCACTCATGTACAGGGCGCCATATCATGCTTGATCGGTTTCTGGAAGCATTCCGGCACCTCTACTTCTCCCATCTAGGCTAAGACAACCTGGCTTTCTTCGGATGGAACAGCTTCCAGGCACGGAGAGGGTGAACGATTATTTTTTACACTGATTTCCGCACTGGAACTGCATCATGAAGAACCACTGGCAAAATTCCAGTGGCCAATGTAAAATAGTTGTGGATATCAAATGCAGTGTATCTAGTAAACCCAAGAAACCGGAAAATGCACGTAAATAAGGCGTATAAAAAGCGCGGTGAGATGTTCGCCAAGTCCGTGATGTGTCGAAGGAACAGACAAACCAGGTGACCTATGGGCATGGGAAGGAGCTTGTTTCAAAGTGCACAAGTGACCGATAGAAATGATAAGTTACGCATACGTACCGTGCGGAGGATCTTCGCAACAGCAGGCCAACCCACGCCCAGAGCCAGACCATTTATGGTGTACATTATGAACCAACAATATCGGTTTGAAGAAACTAATGTGAGAAAAAAGAAGATTGAGAAGTCAAGTCTCCCCAAGTGTCACACTTACTAGGGCAAGAAAATATCTAGAAGTCAAGCAGAGTAAGCAAACAGGCCGAAAATGCGCTCCCTGCATAACTCGAAGTCAAAGGGCGGGTTTAGGTGAGCTGTCAGATTAACTTCATTCAGCTTTGTGACTACCGAAAAACCTAAGGTATCTAACGAACGAACACCAAAATGACCGTTAATGCCCCCTCTGATATCAGTGGACTCACTTGCTTTTTAAAGCAAGTGACTTAACAGTGCACCGAACGATCCGTTCGAAAAGACAGAAATATGGCACACGCTGCAACATCGTTACTTTATCTACCCAGTGTTCAGTACGGTGCAATATATAATCCTGTAACTTTTTATTCTGCTACGGATTATAGTAGAACAGACGCATGCGCGTAGTAACAAGCGTTCATATTGATAACAATCAGAAACTACTGGGCTTCTGCGAATACTTAGAAGCAATTGTAGGGATTAAAAAATCGGGTTCACTCTAATATGGCATGCATCTAACCATTAAATCTAACAGAACATGAGACATGCAGTAACCCGCCAGGTGGTTTTAGCTCAATACCCAGAATCTGTAGCTGAAGATAACATGATGGCAACAATAAATGTCCTTTTTGTCACTTACCCGAAGCCCTCATTTAGGGAGTCAGGAGGCTCTTATGCTCTGTCGCCAAGCTCTAAGTGGCTGTCTCTGGGCTGCTTTTATCGAGCACACAATTGAGTAGAAATAGCTGACAGGCGGACGACCATCCTGAGCGTAAATCACGTCATCCGATAAGCATGATCATGTCAGGTTACAGTCATCTGAAAATTATTCTATTTCCGTTACTTTAGTCATCGGATTGAGAACAGGCCCCAAGTAACGGGAGCGCAAGATACAAGTCTCTCCAGAGGACGACTATTCTCGTCATGCGTATCTGTCCATAATCGGCACCGGGCGAATTAAGCAGAGCATACTGACAAATTTACTAAGCAACCTACCAAAGACCTTAGAAGGAAAAACAGCAGGTGGTAAAACGACGCAAATATAAACCCACCACGAATACAACCGAAAATCTGTGACTCACGTGCCATGAAGAAGAGAGACCCCGCAGTGGACCACAGAGTGTAAACAAAAACAGCCGACGGATTGAGCTGGTCCATGAAAATGCCACTAACAAGCTTCGTGGTTGTGTAGCCTAAGGTCTGTGAACTCAGTATAATACCTACACAGAATAAAAGGATGACTTGGCTGACGAAACAGTTGCAGCAGGTTGTGATACAAAGAAGCAAACTGAGGAGCAAGGATGAGCAAAAAACAGTCGGCAAAACCTAGTTCACCCGATTCATGTCCTAAAAAACCACATGTTACCGCCTATAATACCAAAGCTGAGGAAACCGCATTTAGTGACGAATGGGAAGACTCACCCAACTGAGTAGCATCCAGCCTATCCCCAGGGATGGTGAGCTCAGCGGTAAAGACATCCTGTAGGGCTCGACGGGCAAACGACAAGGAGGTATAGCCGATGAACAGCAGAAATAAGAGTGACAACGGCCTTTCAGCCAGATCTGATGTTGACATGGGCGTAATTAGGCACTTCAAGAGATGTGAATGACACTGAAAGGTACAAAAAGCATCAGGGGTTAATTCAGGGTGGGAAGACACAGCCTGATTCCTGCGCCCAGTTTTGCCTGTCAACATTGGCCGTGCCATATCACTGGCCGGGGAACTAGTTCAGTTAGGAAGCTACTTTCCAAACCGAAATAAGCATGAGATAATTACAGCATAATACCATCAGGCAAACTGGGTAGGATAGAAGCTCTTGAAAAGTCAGACATGACGAAAAATAAATTCTTCTAGTCACAAGATCAGACCAAGTCTATGTTCTGCACCTAGAGTAGCGTTACTCGGAAACAATTTATCGTTAGGTCGTCACATTTGCCACTTTATAGTTATACGTAGTCGATGAATGGCCCTTTAGGTATCACTGATTTGTGTCAACAACATTCCTATCACAGTTCGGTTTCTACTACATGTGAATGATCTACCAGGGGTCCTACAGTCGGCAAGTCTGTTATTCGCTGATGATCTTAAGATATGGAAACCTATTGAGTGTGACGAAGACCGAGTGGCTCTTCAGCATGACTTAGAACGTCTGGTGGCCTGGTCCTCTGAAAGGAGGCTTCCGATCAACCCGGCCAAATCAGAATATATATGCCTGGGAAAGCCAACTTCAGATCGTGCATATCATCTGGATGGTCAAAAATTGAAATCGGTCTCATCAATCCGAGACTTGGGCGTTCAAATCCGTTATGATTCAAAGTCGAAGGACCACACGAGCGCTGTGTATAAGAAGTCTCTTCGCACTTTGTGGGCATTGAAGCGAAGTTTTTCGATGTGGACGGAAGAGTTAGTTTTAAAACTGTATCCCACCATGATCCGGCCTATATTGGAATATGGTGCACCAGCTTTCTCCCCACTTACGAAAGACGAGGCCCGAAAGCTCGAACGTGTCCAACACCTCGTTACAAAGATGGTTCCCAGTCTGCGGAGTCTTTCTTATTCTGAGAGATGCAGCAAACTGAAATTGTTCACACTTGAATACAGACGTCTCCGGATTGATATCATCTATGTTTTCCGTGTTTTGTGCCTAAACCATTTTCCGCAGTTGATGTTCTTGTATGACATTCCAACAACCAACATCACCCGAGGACATCGATTTAAACTTACTGTCACACGCATGGACAATGTGCCTCATGGGTACAGTTTCTCTCGCGGCGTTGTGTCATTTTGGAATCGTTTACCGGCAAATGTCGTTCAGTCAGAAACAGTTCAAATTTTCAAACGTAATTTGGGTGAACATTTATCTGATCTATGCTTCTGTGAGGATATCTCCTCCGCTCTGGTCCCGAAAGTCAGCTACTCCACTAGCGGACCAAGGGCGTATATGGAATGATATTCGCATTTTTTCTCTCGGTTCTGATTCTGATTCATGCACGTAGAGACGGAGTAAGCCGGGGATTCTATTTAAAAAAGCGTTACACCTTACGCAAAGACAGGGAGCGACTGGGACAAACACCTAAAAACGCTGTTGCAATGCATATAAACCGAATTAAGGTTCTATTTATTATCAAAATCCTACAAAGCCTTTCATGAACTCCTCATAGGTCACAAGAATGAAGAATCGAAAAGTTGTGGCAATAGTTATATTCCTTTCTTTCCATTAAATCGGTCAAATTTTTGCAAATGTGCACGACCGCACAGTGTGTCGACAGCCACTGAAGCAATGTTCTATTAAGACGAGAAACCAGAGGAAATCTAGCATAAATTGCGTGACAGGCAGGAAACGAAACCAAGTTCAGACGTACCGAGCCCAAACAATAGAGATATGGTATATGGGTTGCGAATCATAAAGTTTCGTGGGGACAACGCCAGCAAGAATGCCCCAAAGATGCGCGCCTCCGAAAAGAGCCGACGGAGCCGGCAACAGAAGAGGACACGACCACCCGCCTGAAGGCTGGCAGGGCGAGAGAGGCGTTCCTATTGGCTAATCGGATGAACATTCACGTTTCTGACCTTGCGCCCAGCACTCAATAAGACGAGATTTCAAGGTTACGCGGCACTACAGCAATATCGGCTGCAGCGGCAGCTTACCAATTAACGGTAGGTGAAAAAAAGCGGGCTGAAAATTCATGATAACATTTTCGTAATTCTAGGGACATATCTAGCCCAGATCGATCCGTAAATTATTTCCGTGTCCCTTCTATTCATCAAGCATAACAAAATTAGTGGCGTGGTGTAGTTTACGACACGGTTGCATGCTGCGTTCAGGTATTCCGAAGTTTACTTTAAAAAGAAAGCTTGTGTAGGTTGCAATATTCATACAGCTAGGAGCAGTAGCCATTGCTGCATAGTACGAAGTCACGTGTTCAGTAAAAAAGGGGGTACGTTCGAAATCGATTTCGTTTTTTGGCTGTTCAATCTATTCACAGAGTACACACGAGTCATTGTTCAGTTTATTACTATGACATAGCAGTTAAGAGATAATGCTTGATATTACGCGCTCAATTTTCATTTTGCATCCAGTCATAGCCATGACGTCCATTTATCCAGATTGCCCTCTGCAGCCATCGATAGACCAAAACCGACGTGGGCGAAATGGCTTCCCGTCGAACGTAAAACGCGGAATGCAATGCCACATCTGCAAGGCCTGGTGGCACTTCAAACACACGGGCTTATAGGACGGCCAGATAAGCGAATTAGCTGACTCTCCTGACATTTTTTTGCCTCTTGGGCTCTTAGTCACCCTTTCCTCTCCATCTGCCGTACGGAAGATCTTCGAATGAACTGGCAGATTCCAAAAGGCCAACCTAATCATCAGACGTCTGGCTGAGTATCGCCCTCCATAGGCGCGAAAGCTGTCACAGCAGTTTAAGGGTAGAGATTCCAAACAGGTTTCCGCTTGGCCAAACTCATGGCCAAACCAATCGCAGTCATAGTCCCCTGTGCTCCCGAAAGCATCCCAACGAAACAGGCCGCGTCTCCGGACGCCAATTTCTATCCAACCAACACATATCCCTCGCCCACCAAAGGCAGTGAAGGAGGCAGAATAGCCTGTGGAGTGGGCAGCGCGTCGAAGCAGCGCCCAAAGTAAGTAGGGCTATCAGCGCTTCTTTCCGTAACAGACGTCAAAGATGCAGCAGTGAACTCCTCACCAAAGTCACAGCTTCTGAACTGGACTGAGAAAGAAACGCGCGGACAAGCAGCGAAGGCCACCGACAAATCAACCACATGCGTTGACCTCGACGCCACAAACGTGACCACACCAAAACGGAAAACCCCTCGTACATCCAGTTGGCCCCACTGATCGCCAGCGGATCGTGCGTCCACACAAACACAAAAGAAAAGCGACTGCAGCCAAGCAAGCCACATAAGATTCGCCAGTTCACAGGACTGCTGGCTAGCTGGAAGTTGCAGTCTTCTGAGGAAACGAGCCTCATTGGAGCGCCACCGAAGGAATTACTTCTTGGTGCCGCCACCCGGCGCCCAGGGCATCACAGCGACACCTTTCCGGTCAAACTGCGTCGAAGCACCCAAGAATCCAGGAAGGCGAATGTTTGCCGCAAATCTTTGATCAACAGCAAATCTGGTCTTCAAAAAGTACATGCTGAGAGAGCTACAAACAGCAACGGTCGAAATTTTCGCCCACGGGAAAAAAGACTTCGTCCTTCAAAGCCAGAAGGCCAGAGCAAGCCGGGCTCCCACGAAAGGAAAAAACCCGCAAGCAAAAAGCACCCCCAGAAACCACCAAGACAAGAAGCAGACGACATCGCCCCAGAGGCCCGTTCGGAGACTTGGACTAACATCCGGTGTACAACTATTAGGTCTGCTAACCAACCTGGCCACTCAATTCTCGGCTCCTCACCCACGGAGGCAGCAGAGAAACACTTGAGAACGCTCCTCCAACTACCACTTCACGCATCTCCTCGTGGTAGGTGACTTCAACGCCCCAAAGGCCTCCTGGATTGAGCTCCAATGCGTCTAATCAGGCGGATCTTTTGCAGCGGGGCTGTTAGAATTCGTTCAACAGAGCGATTGGACCCAACATGTCGCTGCACCTATACGGTTCTCTGCCGTGTAAATTAGTGCATGCTTCGACCCGTGGTAATGCGCGCTATGGACTATCTGTTTGGCTGTTGTCAACTCCACCCGATTCGTGCATCACGAAGGAAGGATCCCGACCTGAAAATAAAAGGAAAAACAACAACAACAAGACTGCACATCTCAGCCTAACAACCTAATTCACGACGT